AAACATCATGTTGTATAATATTCACATTAATGGTGATCAACAAGCAAAATTTGAAAATTCTTGCTCTATGTGCAAGCATAGAATTCTAGTCAAAAGCACAAGTTTAAGTTTTCAAATAATTTTTAGCAGAAATCTTCAAAAACCCCACCAATCTGATGTCTGGCATGGTAATGCCTAAAAATTTAGAATTTTTGCCCAACAAACAAAGTTATAATATTTTTTGTACCTTTTTATACAAAGTTTCAAAATCCGCACATCATCACCCACACAGAACTATTAATGTGCTTCATATTAAAATTCTAGCCCTAAATTTCATATTATTTTGTAACAGAAATGGGAAGCTTTTGTTTAGTTCTACTCAAATTTTATATATTCATTCTTGTAGAGCTTTAAAATTAAATTTCCTTTAATGAAAATTTTAATAAAAGAAATCACACTCATTTTGAGGTCTGACTAATAAATTCCCTCATAGTAAAAAACCACAGTTTGTGTTCGACGATTATGATTATCGACTACGTTCATATAAATCTGGATCTGGTGCAAACAAACCATGGAATAAAAGTAAAAGTTCTCTGTGTACCACACACACCTTCGTACGCATAAATAACAGTACACATTCATACGGCCATTATGTACGTTAAAATGTTTGTTACTTAGTTGTTTTGACAAAAAAAAATCCAAATTCGTTGAAAATGTGAAAATCACGTTCGAATAACAGCAGTTCGAAAAAATATAAAACTGAAAAACAAACCAAAAGCCCGACAATCATAGATAGTGAAATTCTGAGGCAAGCAAAAAATTTGAAATCACCTTCACTCACATACACACGAAAGCACGCACCCACCCAGTACATTTTTTTTTATTAAATTCAAAGCGTCCAACGACGTGTCACCATCTAAATAGATAACCAAAGCGAAATGATAAATTAAAAAAAAAAAAACAAGAAATTAAAGAAGATATATTTTTTGGTGTGAAAGAATAAGATAATAACGAATGGTCATTAATGCGTTTTAACAGCATTTTTACCGAAACTATCATAATTTGGAACACAGTGTCATAAAAAGAAAATAGATGAAGATATGACAAAATAGAACGTGGGTTGTAATTTATGGGGATCGTAATTGGAAATGATTGCTGGATTGGCTTGCGAATATTTTTCCAACTAATATCACAAGACTTTTTAGAAAATATGAAAAAAACATCATGCTGGATTTTGTGGAAGGAAAACTTTCAGGATCATGGTTGGTCTAAAAGAAAATTAAATCCACAATAAGGTCCTTAAAAATATTAAAAAAAACTGCGATTATTGCTGGTCCTTAAAAAATATTATTTAACAATCACGATAAATAATTATACCCTCAACCATATGGCTACAGAGGGTATATACAGGGTGGAATAAAAAAACTGCAACAAAGTCAAAAAACGCCGTATAGGGTAAGTGTGCCTAAGTTCGGCATTTCCCAGTAGTCGGCACTTTTTATGTTTAAGCCCATATAAATGAAACTATTATAACTAAATGTATTTTGTATACTTCAAATATATTGTCAGCTATCTTTGTGTACAATTTCGCTAAGAAAAGATGATTTATTCTAATAAAAATTAAATTTTTGTCTGTGAAGGTCCTCAACAATCCATATTCTTAAGAAAAGTACAATAAAGACGTCGAATCAGTTTAACTAAACAATAATATTATATTTTAATGAATTAATTTATTATTATTATTAATTATTCTTACAAAAAAATTGGTATGCCCACTGTTGGAGCATGCCATACCGACAATTCGCAAGTGGTGCCGACTACTGGCACAAAAGCATTGTTTTAATAAAACTACAAATTTATGAAATTTAATAAAAACTTATTAAAACTTTATTTATTATTGCAAAAACTATACAAAATTTCGAATCTGAATAAATTATCTTTGTAATAATTGGAACGTTTTACTCAGAATGGTGAGCGATTAAAAACGCGAAAATCCTAAAAGTGCCGACTACTGGTACACTTACCCTATATTTTTTTAATTTTATTAAATCAAAGCGGAAATGTCGGAAATAGCATCAAATTTTAGAATAAATTTAGATTTGTTTGAGTTCGTCACATTTGGCACGAGTTATGGCCTTCAAACGGCCAATTAAACCGTCACACGCTGCCCGAATGTTGCTCTGCGGTATTTTGCCCCATTCCCGGCGAAGCGCTTGCTTGAGGTGATCGACACTTTGGTATTTTTTAGTGCCAACCTTGCTTTTTTAAAATACTCCAGACACAATAGTCCAACGGATTGGTATCCGCAGATTTTGGTGGCCATTGTGGCATATGAAGCGAGGAACCTCATTTTGTAACCATTCTTGGGTGGCGCGTGCTGAGTACGATGGTGATGAGTCCTGTTGGAATGTCCAAGGTCTGCGGCCAAAATGTTAGCGTGCCCAAGACTTTAATACACCCTCCAGAATATTTTCGCGATAGTATTCGACATTTATTTTGATGCCACGGTCGATTAATACGAGCGGAGAGCGTCCATCGGTTGTTATGACGGCCCACGCCATCACCATGGCCGGTGCTTGAGTTCTGTTGGCCAACCGAAGGTGCACATTTTCAGCTGACCTCTTTGTTTACAAACTGTTGGACAACGAATGTTTTCTCATCGGAGAAAACCAAATTCGGCAGTTCAACACTTTCGGCCAAGCGAAGAAACTCTTTAGCTCTTTTGAGTCTATTTTCTTTCTGTTGCGGTGTAAGTTCTGGCACTTTTTGGAATTTCAATGGCTTTACCCGAGCTCATTTTTCAATATTTGTCGAATGGAATATTGTGATATGTGCAGCTCACGAGCCATTTTTCGGCCACTGCGACGCGGGTTTCCATCAAGGTGCTTCTTTACTTTTCGAACTTTTTCCATGTTAATTTATAATCACGCTACAGGTCGCAATTATGGCCCGATCCTCATGAAATTTTGCATGGAGTGGTATGGTCATAATAAAAGCCTATTGTTTTCAAAGATGTCCGCAACATATTTAGGTGTTGAAATGGACAAAAAAAAAAAAAAAATGAAAAAAAATCCTGTTTTTGCAGTCATTATAAAAGTCTCAAATAGAAACCAAAGGACACGAAATCTCGCATGAAGTTGGAGTTTAGGACAGCGGGTAGAATGGACCAGTACTATTCTACCGAAATGCTAAACATAAATTACAGGCGATATACAAAATGCAAAAAAGGCGAACTTCTGGCTTTTTATGCTGATTTCGTTGACGAATATAGCCAAGTATCGTAGACAAGATAAAGCATATAGATGCGTATAAATATAGAGATACAGAGGGTCCTCCTGCATTTGAAGATGATCGCAAAATATTTAGGGATTCAAATGAACCAAAAAAAGAAAAAAAATCCTGATTACACAATTGAAGCCAATCGACACTCCTGAGAAGAGAGTTAAGGAGAGGGAAGAATTCCAGAATTTAGGATGACCATTGGATTATATTTAACTGCGAAATGGACCACAACAACTAATAGCACGACGGAGTGCGTAAATATTGGGCAAATGTCCCTGGCCAAAATCCTGAGGGTAATATCTGGGCAGTGCTCTGTGACATAATTTCAAAAGCGAAATCTTCCAAAATGGATGTGGACATAAGGGGACTTCTAACATATTGTAGTGTTGTAGGGTATCACATGGTCGCCTCCCCCCGCACGACTATAGCCTTTGCTTACTTGTTTAAAGTGTTCAAATATTTTGCTAATGTGTTTTTTTATACCCTACACCACAAGGTGGTCATTTTATACCCTACACCACAAGGTGGTCAGGGTATTTATCTTTGTGCATTTGTTTGTAACAGGCAAAGGGAAACGAGGTAGACCCATAGTTCCTTTTGATGATCTGCATAGAATCACTTTCTGAGTTGATTTATGCATGTCAGTCCGTCCGTCCGTCCGTCTGTCCATGTATTCTTGCGAACAAATTGCAGGTCGCATTTATTATCCGATTGAGATGAAATTATGCAAACAACATTTGTTTGGCCCAAGGACGAACCCTATTGAAATTGGAGATAATCGGTAAAAATTTAGATATAGCTCCCATATATATCTTCGTCCGATTTGCCTTTTATTGTGCACCAAACGTGTAATATCAGCCCGAATAGTATGGAATTTTGCACATACAACCAAATTAGGCCTGAAAATAAGTATGCCAAATTTTATCGAAATCGGTTCAGAAATAGCTATAGCTCCCATATATATTGTTCATCCGATTTGTTATTTTTGTCCTCCGCAGCCGTAATATGCACTCTGTAACAACAATATTTGGGGAAATGCAGCTCAGATATACCTTTGCTAAATTTTATCGAGATCGGTTCAGATTTGGATATAGCTCCCATATATAACTTCGTCCGATTTACCATTTATTGTGCACCAAACGTCTAATATTTGTCCAAATGGAATGGAATTTGGCACACACGACCGAATTTAGTCTAAAAGGTAGTAGGCCAAATTTGGTGAAGATCGGTTCAGATATAGTTATAGATACAAATGCTTCGGCATATTTAGTCCTTTGAATTTTAAATTATAATTATAATCATAGCGTGTATGATTGAATTCTCCCATAAATACTTTTAATTATTAAGTGGAGCTCAACTAAATTAGCAAAGTGGTGTAGGGTATCATAAAATCGACCCCGCCCGACTTTAGGACTTTCTTTATTGGTTGAACCCGGATCTTGTAAATAACCACAAGATTCCATTTTCAATTTATTGCTAAGCTTATGCCGGTCAATAAACTTTATAAATTAAAAACTAAAATAAATAATAATAAAATTACACATAACATATATTTGAAAGTCCCCCTCATAGCCCACTTAATGGAGCGGGGGAAAACTTAAAAAAAAAACATTGAAATGATGTGAATGAAAAAAGAAAAATAAAAATAATAATAAAAAAATTGTTTTGATGAGCAAATGTTTGTTGGTGTTGTTGTTTGTTGTAGCATTACTAGCGGATGATGGTGCATCTACGCTTACCTGTTCATGTCGGACAATAATGGGCTCTGCGATGGAAAAACTTAACAACAATGGAGTGGAATGGAAAACGGAAGCTTGATCCGTGAAGTCGCTGGCGCTCGTCTCTCTATTGAACTAAGGCCATGGCAATACGCACAGGCAATAGCAAAAGAGGGAGGGGGCGAGCGGGGGTTGATGTCGAGAAAATCCGGCACAAGTTTTCTATAGTGTGTTGTTAGCTTTCATTCACTGTAAAGTGGCGGTTCCCCTTGTTACCTAAGTAGCTTAAGGTGCCAATTGTTTTAGCCATAAATGTTACTGATGTATGTAGTTATGTATATGGCCATGCAGCGGGCAATTGAACAAATGTTGTTGTTATTTATTTTTTTTTTGTTGTATTATGGTTGAGCTGTTTTGTTTTCTTTTTTCTTATTGTGTTGTTGTTTTATTTTATTTTCTTTTATTTATTTATTTATTTTTTTTTTTTTTGTATTTTATTACTTTGTTTCTCCGCTTGCGTTGGCGCTTTTTAGCCAAGTTAATTACTATAGTTGTATGGTTAATGTACTCGTTTGTTTACTACTGCTTCATCGGCGTTTTGGCGGCTACACATCTCCTACACATCGTTGTAATCTTTGGCACAAAAACTCTTGTTTTCATTTGTTGTGTGTTTTTGGGATTTTTTCATGTTTTCTTAAGCTTTTCTTCTTTACATACAAATTATCTTGTCATTCATTGCTGTTTTTCCTTTTGTTTTCTATGGAGAAAATTTTTTCATGGTAATGTGGAAAATTTTCAAATTTTCTTAAGTGTGACGCCGTGAGAGAGTGCGAGAGAGAGGTAGGGAGGGGGTGTTGTGACTTATTTCTTCTTTTTTTTTCGAAACAAAAAAAGAAACTTTAAAAACAACAACAAATTTTACTTTCATTTCGTAAGAATAGCAAAACATAATAACGAATAATAAAACCAAAACATTAAATAATAAAAGATTATATTCAACTTCACTTCTGAAAACCGAGGTGCATATGCTCCATGCATGAGTGCCTTAAATAAGTTGTCGGGTAGATCGAGTTTGCACAGTGGCTTATAGGGAAAATTCGGCATTCTCAATGGTATGAGATTCAAATCTGACTTAAGATATACAGGGTGAGATAAAAAAAACTGCAACCAACTTCAGACTGCTGTCATTTCTAAGCCACTCGGCCGACAGCTGTTAAAATTATTCCAGTTACAGCTCATTGTATTGTTTGCAAACGTACAAAAGCATTTTGGTGAGAATTTTCCAGAAGAAAAGTTATTCGTGATGGAATTTAAGCGTGGCAGTGTGATTTCTTTATATTTGGCTGGCTATCGTTAGAGCACTCCAGCGTTTAAATGTGAATAAATTTTTTGTGTCTCGTACCATCGCTCGTTACCGTGGTACTGGTAGCGTATCCCGACGTCAAGGAAGTGGACGGAAGAAAACAGCAACATCAGCAGAAATGGTTCGAAAAGTAAAGAAGCGACTTGATCGAAATCAACGCCCCAGTGGCCGAAAAATGGCTCGTGAGCTGAACATATCCCAATATTCCATTCGCCAAATATTGAAAAATGAGATCTGGGTAAAGCCATTGAAATTCCAAAAAGTGCAAGAACTTATACCGCAACAGAAAGAAAAAAGACTCAAAAGACCTAAAGAGTTCCTTCGCTTGGGCGAAAGTGGTAAACTGCCGAATTTGGTTTTCTCCGATGAGAAAACATTCGTTGTCCAGCAATTTGTAAGCAAACAAAATGATCGTGTTTTCTTGCCAAGAGGTCAGCTGAAAATGTGCACCTTCGGTTGGCCACCAGAACTCAAGCGCCGGCCATGGTGATGGTGTGGCCGCCATAACAGCCGATGATCGCTCTCTGCTCGTATTAATCGAACGTGGCATCAGAATAAATGCCGAATATTATCGCGAAAATATTCTGGAGGGTGTATTAAAGCCTAGGGCACGCAAACATTTTGGCCGCAGACATTTGGCCTTGGACATTGCAACAGGACTCAGCACCATCGCACTCAGCACGCGCCACCCAAGAATGGTTACAAAATGATGTTCCTCGCTTCATTTCCAGCTCACAATGACCACCAAAATCTCCGGATACCAATCCGTTGGACTATTGTATCTGAAGTATTTTGGAAAGCAAGGTTGGCACTAAAAAATACCAAAGTTTCGATCACCTCAAGCAAGCGCTTCGCCGGGAATGGGCCAAAATACCGCAGAGCAACATTCGGGCAGCGAGTGACGGTTTCATTGGCCGTTTGAAGGACATAATTCGTGCCAAAGATGACCAATTCGAGCAAATCTAAACATATTCTAAAATTTGATGCCTTTTCCGACATTTTTTGCCTTCATCCGAATTAAAAAAAAAAAAATGTAAAAATTATGGGGTTTGACTTTGTTGCAGTTCTTTTATCTCACCCTGAAGCAAGCAAAATTGGGCGCTTTATCAAGAAACAAGTGGAAAAGCAGTAAGTTCGGCCGGGCCGAACTTTGAATACCCACCACCATTTGGAACGAATCTGGAAATTTTCAAAAAAAAGATCCTTAAAAAATTCTGTTAAAATTTTATAAATACAAAATATAGCCGTCATATTGTGGTCTATCGACGTAGGCATTGTTTGTCATAAGCCATTACCATATTCAAATTCGAAACTTAAAATAAACAGTGAATAATGTAGTCAAGATCATCAAAATACCGTATATAGGGATGTAAAGTTATATCGGGGCTATTCCTGGAGCTGCATAGATAACTTTCTGTCACATGCTGTAGCTTCTATTACTAACTTCAAATACGACTTCTCAAACAATTTCTTGTATCTTAAATCGTTAAAATACCGAATATTGGGAGATACCGTTATATGGGGGCTATACGAAGACGAGGACCTGCATAGAAAATTTTCTGCCTTAGGCTGTAGTATTCAATATGAGCTTCAAATACCACATCTCAAACTTTTTCGCTGGGTATTGTACCTACAATCGTCAAAATACCGAATATAGGGAGGTACAGATATATGGGGCCTATACGAAGACCTAGACCTGTATAGACAATTTCTGTCACAGACTGTATGGGTACTTCACTCTAAATCCATAATTTGAAACAATTCTGGTGAATAATGACGCTAAAATCGTCAAAATACCGAATATAGGGAGGTACCGTTATATGGGGGCTATACGAAGACGTGGACCTTCACAGAGAATTTTCTGTCTCAGCGTGTAGAATACATTTCGAACTTCGAATACCAAATTTGAAACAATTTCGGTGAATAATGTCGCTAAAAACAATCATGGGAGGGTATAAAAAATTGCAGGACCATCTAGTCTTAAACAAAACTGGGAGTTTTCCTTTCGACTTAAATCCGATACTTTGGGTTAGTAACAAGTAGAAAAGTACCTTCTCAAAAAAGTCTGTATTTACAGGGATCGACATATGGATCCTATAACGTTATCCCTAAATTTTTGAAATTTAGAGTTTTTCACATGCTGGAGAACATCAAAATGTTATTTTGTTTATCAGCTTGCTATTTTTTTATTATAATTTTGTTTATTTACATATGTATGTATGTTTAGCTCATATCTGCAAATTCACAATGTATTGTCCCATCCCAGAAATCATTTCTACAAATCATCAATGCCGAAAACAAAAATATCAAAATAAATCATAAAACCAAATGAAAGCAATTTAATCAAGACAATACAAAATGACAAACCATTGACGCGGCTGTCGTCTATTCAATTTTTCAATAAATCAAAGAACAATATCGACTCTGAGGAAACTACATAACAACCGAGAAAAAAATGAAAGTGAAACGATATTGATTTGAATGGAATGGACAAAAATAAAAACATTCGTCACGCTCTCATCAAAAAATTTTAGAAACTATAGTTTTTTTTTTAATTTTTGAGACGAAATTTTTTATTTTGTATTTGTATGAGTATTTTTATATATATATATATATATATATATATATATATATATATATATATATATATATATATATATATATATATATATATATATATATATATATATATATATATATATATATATATATATATATATATATAAATATATATAAAATAAATGTCCAAAACACGTCTAAACAAGTTAGCAACTTTCAGTGGGTGTTTCGATAGATACATACCCTTATTTGGACACACCTTATGAGTATACTTTTTCGGTAAGATATCAGAAGAATAATGGGAATCAAGAATCTATACCTTGATCGCCAATAAGTAAGTTTGATATGAATATTACCACGGACTAAGTTTCGACATATTCGGGCATTACGTTATAAATATATATATGTATTGAGATATATGCCTGATGTTATTTTTTTCGAACTTTTGTGTAGAATGTGCCCAGAAGAGGGGACCGATATATTCCAATTTCACACTAGCTCCAAAATATATGCAAAGATATTGGGATGTGAAAAATTTCAAGAAAGTCAGACATTGTTTTCCAACTTATTGGAGCTATATTATCATTAACAAGTAAAAACCAGTAAAGAAAGTCTTAAAGTAGGGCGGGGCCGACTTTATGATACCCTACACCACTTTGCTAATTTAGAAGAGCTCCGCATAACAATTAAAAGTTTTTATGGGAGTATTCAATCATACATGCTATGATTATAACTATAATTTAAAGTTCATAGGACTAAATATGCCGAGGCATTTGTATCTTTTAAATTCGGAAATGTATTGTCCATTTGGTGCACAATTAATTTGAAATCGGAAAAAGATATATATAGGAGCTATATCCAAATCTGAACCGATCTCGATAAAATTTGGCAAAGATATTTCTGAGCTGTATTTGATATATTTCCCTGACGGGAAATATATGTTACGGAGTGCATATTACGGTTGTGGGTAACAAATATAACAAATCGGATGTATAATATATATGGAAGCTATAGCTATATCTGAACCGATCTTCACCAAATTTGACATACTAGCTTCTACACTCAATTCGGTCGTAAGTGCCAAATTCCGTATCATTTAGACAAATATTAGACGTTTGGTGCACAATCCAAGGTAAATCGGACGAAGTTATATATGGAGCTATATCCAAATCTGAACCGATCTCGATAAAATTTAGCAAATGTTTTTCTGAGATGTATTTGATGAATTTCCCCAAATATTGTTGTTGCAGAGTGCATATTATGGCTGCGGAGGGCAAAAATAACAAATCGGATGAACAATATATATGGGAGCTATGGCTATACCTGAACCGATTTCGATCGAATTTGGCATACTTATTTTCAGGCCTAATTTGGGTGTATATGCAAAATTCCATACAATTCAGGCTGATATTACACGTTTGGTGCATAATAAGAGGCAAATCGGACGAAGATATATATGGGAGCTATATCTAAATTTTGACCGATTATCTCCAATTTCAATAGGGTTCGTCCTTGGACCAAACAAATGATATGTGCAAAATTTCATCTGGATCGGGCAATAAATGCGACCTGTACTTTGTTTACAAAAATACATGGACAGACGGACGAACGGACGGACATGCATAAATCGACTCAGAATGTGATTCTATGCAGATCATCAAAAGGAACTATGGGTCTATCTCGTTTCCTTTTGCCTGTTACAAACAAATGCACAAAGACATAATATCCTGACCACCTTGTGGTGTAGGGTATAAACATTAAGTTCGATCTTATAATACCCTCCACCTTAGAGTAGAGGAAACATTAGAACCCATTATGGCCCACAAATACCAATT